GACTATATATTTCTAAAAAAAGCAAACAAGGAACTATGGCCAGAGGATAAAGTCAAATTCAGAACCTTGGTCACCTTCAGAACTAAATTACTATTTAACTCCCTCTCAACAAGGCACAAACTTCATAAGAGGTATCCCTCAACATATCCTGATCAAAAATATCCAAGATGTGATCACAGCGTTGAAGAAATGATACATATAGTTGAATGTCTCAAAAGCAAGGAAATGATCTACAAAGCTATTCCAAAACTAAACAAGCTAATTAACTAGTCCCAAAAGGAAAAACATGGCAAAACTACCACATCAGAAAAAAATTTTCCATTAGATACAGAAGGAAGCGATTTACTTCTAACAGCCCTAACCATATCTAATGAGCATCTAAACAAGATTACTAGCAACAAATTAAAAATCAAAATAGCCAACAAATCTCTTAAAGTCATATACAAAATTTAGAAACAACGTTCAGCTACAGCAACCACATCTTCACAGACTGGTATCAAATGAAAGAAGAGTAAAGTAAACAAAAATAGTCTCCCCAAAAAAGAAAATAATAACAATTATAACCAGAGTTACAATATATTTAACAGTATCTTGGACACAATAAAAATCAATAACAACTTTACAAATCTATCAATTTTTACACCCACCGTAATTTCATCATTTTTGAATAAGCATTAGCCATTCGATCTTGCTTTGGCATCCCCAGTCACAGACTGCAAGGGTGTCATAATAAGAAAATCACAATAGGCTATAATTAACTTACTATTTTATAAAGACTATTAATGTATTGTTTATGAATTGAATTTTTAATAAAAACTTGCATTTAATGCTCATTTGCGATAAAAAAAAAAAAAAAGTAAAAAATTATTAAGTATCTTTATAATATTTGGATATAGAGATGTATGAAATTTCAAGCATGAAAAAAATTACAAGGCATAATATGAAAAATTGAAAAAACAGTCAAATATAGTACTTTATACAAAGTGCATGATTAATTATAGCAGAAAAGCATATAAAAGATAAACACATTGATCCAATAAACAGATATATAAACCAATTTTGTAAAAACCTTACATATCTATTCCATATTTTTACAATTTTATATAGTATTAGCCAGACTTGACTAGCTTCCAATAGAGTGATAATAGACTATGAAGTGAGTTCTCTCTATTAAACTAGTTTGATTAATATAGGTAATCTTAGTATAAACAATATATACATCTTTATTTAATTCAAATAAAGTAAGGCTAAGCCAGAGTTTTTTTTTTAAAAAAAAATTAATACTTATCTTGAACTTTAAAATAAAAAAAATTTTTTTTTTTATATTTAAGTTTTTATAATATAACCTAATTATAACTGGTACTGTATTTTATTTTAAAAAAACAATAATTACTAAATTTTATATTGAAATTCTTTATTAGTATGTTTTAATAATAGAGAAAATGCTTGATATTCAATGATAATAGTAGCAAGATAATAATAAGAAATATACAGGTTATCTTATAAAAAATTTTTTTAAAGAAAATATATTATAAATTATGGACTAGTCATCCAATAGTCCTGACTTAAACCCAATAGAATATCTATGGGTTATCATCAAAAGAGATGTAAAGAAAAGAATAGAAAAAAATCCAAAACCCATTTTTAAAAGATTTGATAAATTTAATGGATCGATGATGTTAAGAAATAAGAAATAAAATAAAAATAATAAAAAAAAAATATCATGATTTTTTTTTACAAATAAATAAATATTAATTTATCAATAGTCTAAATTCCGTGTCATTTGACACAATCATTCACGTGTATTCACATAATTTTGAAAGGTAGTTTTTTTTTGTCCCCTACTGTATATGATTATATTTAAAATAAATTATTGTAGAGAATATAAAATCTAAGAGATGGAAATAGATAATATGAATATATGCTGAGTGTATTTTTTTAAGATCTGAAGTAAAGCATCTAAAATAAATGTATAAAATTAATTGAGGCAACATTACAAAGAATAAGAGATATAATAAAGGTAAAAGGGAGATATACAGGATAATAATAAATATCAAATAAGATTATAGGCATTTTTAAATATTTATGCATAAATTACATGCAATTTAATTATAGTGACGCGTTGTTTGTATGTCCATAAAAACATATCCTTGACACGTTTATTTTCACTCGCGTATATAGAATAACTATATTGGTTTATTAATGGTTTGATCTTTTATTATTTATTGTAATAACAACGATATCATAATAGTCAGTGTTAAACCATTACTTTTTTAAAATATTCTGGCCCTTAATAGGCTTTTAAAAAGTCTCGGCGACATTTGCACATACATATTATACAGGCAGTGTGCATCTGATCTTCAGAATTTTGCAAATTTTCTTAGAAAAAGATGGAACTCTTGGTCGTAGAGGGAATTTTTCTTTCTTTCTTTTTTTTTTCGCTTACAAGAATAATTTTTATAATAAAGAATACATTCAAGTATTTTTTGTATATATTCCAACGGTCGCATTTTTTGACAATCAGCACGGAAATTGAACTAAAATATAATGAATAATAATTAAAATGACGTAATAAAGTAAAGGAATTGTTTGTTTGTTTGGTTTTATCTAGAGTAAATAATATCATTTTGACCTGTGGATCGTAAATTTCTTATGAAATTAAAGGGGTGGAGAGCGCGGTAAATTCTCTCGGAGTAAGATGATATATGTATATGGCAACTGCAAATAACGATTCGCATTTTATTGTAGCTTTGTTCAAAAGGCGCTTGACGATTTTCTTTTAGTAAAGGCCACCGATTATCATACGTAATTCAAGTCTTTATAAGGTTTAATTTAATTTAATTCATTTAATCCTTACGTACTCGATAATCTATCTTGAAGATCCTCAAAAGATGTTCCGAATTCTTCAGAATCGACCATATTCAAAATTATTATTCGTACACAGGTCATCACTACCGACCTTTTTACCCTCTTTTAGGCAAAGATTTTTTTCGTCGAGTGCATCAGAATCGGATTCCGTACGTATCTTGAAAAGACCTTTTCCGACGAAATTATTCTGGATTTTTAAGAATTTCAATATTTAGTTGGAGCAGATACAGCATGGACGACTTTACTTTGACAACACCTATCCCCTAAAAATTGGGTCTTTTGACATCCGCCATTACTTCGTGAGATCGAATAAATCTCAATTAGAAGAAAAGGCGAGATCTGGCAAGTTGATTCCACCCGAAGATAAAATGATCTATAATTTTAAGGTCGAAAGCGTTGAGCCTAGGTAACAAGTTTAATGATCTCTTTCTACCGCACTTTATGTTTGTTTAATCGAGTCTTTGCAAATTTCAATGAATCCTCAGAAAGAAGGAAGGAGGGATGTTTCTCAATTTCACCTTTCGCGCATCTCCATCCCAAAGGGAAAAAGCGCTCAACGGGATAACTCAATTGGTGAATAATTACATGGAAAATAGACGCGTAAAAGTATCTTGGTTTAATGTTCGATCACAAAAAGTGTACTTTGTTCAGGTATTTAATCTAATCATTTCAGTTTGCTTACTGTACATAGCTAACCCATTTACCGACATTCTGATGGTATAATAAATAGGGCGAACCTTTTGTTGAAGATTTGGTCAATAGATATCCTTCGAGGTGACATTTTCATCCTATAAGTCATTTGTCCTAAAAAGAAAAGGAATAATATGGTGCCCTCAATAACATTGTAGTCGACTGCGTGTTGAATTCCAAGGTCCTGACCTTCCGATCGTAGGCTGCTTCTTTAATTTAGCTCAATATAGTTAGTTTATTGTGTCGACAGCTTCGATTTATGATCTTGTAATCAACGTGAATAGGAATCCTTGTATCGAATATTTCGTCCATATGGATTGATAAAAGATATAGATATAGTTCCTCCTTCTTCGAAGGAACTTCCGAGATATGCGATGATATTCTATACATCCATGCGCTCAGCAACCAGTGCCAAAAACTGTGTTCACGGAATGATCACTGATAGCACCAGATTAAATATTTTTTATGATGTCCCTCTGGTGAGAAATTTAATAATTCTTCACTATATATATTTTAAAAAAAATTCTAACATGAATTTACGCCATCACTTTGATTTTGAAATAGAGAACCAATGTCGTCTATAAGTGGATGGCCGATCATCCTAGGATTTCGGTGCGCCATGGTTGCAATAATTGAGTTATTATCCGGCACTCGTATCTCATTTCGTTCTTCTTCCTTAGGTCCCACTCATTGCTGCCTTGGTTGCGGGAATTTCTTATATTATGTAATGTCGTTATCATTGTTCCTCCTCGCGTGTTTATTGTTTATTTGAGATGAGGCTAACACAACCTTTCGGAATTTCCTGATAGCTTTGATCCCATTCGGATATTCTTCATCAATTCGAAAGTTACCCAGCGACTCAATCCTCAAGAATACCGTATTTACAAGTGGCTTGTAAAAGAAACTGTTGATCGATGGACAGCATACCGTAACAAGCCAGTTGAGGGTTCCCTGGACGATATTAGCTCTTGGAAAGAAAGAAAAAATGAAGAAATTAAACTTAAAAACTGGCTGGATGAACCACCAGGTTTTTATTTATCCGATATTACTAATTAATCCACGCTTCGGCAAATAATGACTTGACAACATTAAATTTTACAGAGACATTCATTGTCTTAATGGGTCCTATGGGAAGTGGAAAAAGTGAATTTGTTGAACAAGTAATAAAAGAAAAAAGGTGACAATCTTCAATAATTTTTGATCAAATTTTCAGGAAAAAAAAAAAAAAAAACGAAAACACAAGTCTTGTTATTGAATTATTTCAGGAACAAAGTTTTTCTGAAATGCGATGTGATATTGAATTCTCGCACTGATAATGAGCTCTTGTTAAAATTGTCGAAGCAAGTTGGATACTTTCCGCTATTCACCTCGTTGATATCTCTTTCTAATTTCACCGATGGGTTGGCGAGTGCCTTTATTGGACAGAAGACTGGTAAAGTAGAGTCCACGTGTTTCACCGATTATTCACTAGTCATAGCAGCTGCTGATCCGAACGACTTTCTTCGGTAAAAAATTTCTAGTTGGATTAAACTCCACAACTGATGCAGAGATCAAGAAGATTCTTGATACGATGGCAATCGCGCTATATGACATTGCGCCAAAGTCATTAACAAAACGGTCATCCATCGGCAAAAATGAGATTGTCAAATCGTACGATCCGGCAGATATTCCTATAGTCGTGATCGATTCTTTCATGTCAAAAGATACTCAGGAGAATCATGAATTATGGGGGGACTTGGCAAAAGTGGCCGCCATGCTGGTTGAAAATCGAATTGCGCATGTGATATTTGTAAGCTCCAACCCTGGAATTATCAAACATCTAGGCAGAGGTAATCAAAACCACCGATTGTTCGTTATTTGAAAAGTTTGATTCGGCATTAAAAGGGATCCTTACCAAATTTTTATCATGATTCTATTTAATATTGCTTTCTGCATCACGAAGCGCTTCCGAATAAGACATTCAATTACGTAATTCTTAATGATGCGCCGATCGAAAGATCAATTAGCTTGGTGAAGAAACATGTTAGCATTGCAAACGCCAAGGAACTGGAAGACTCCTTAGGGGCACTCGGCGGTAGATTAACCGATTTAAGATTTTTCATTAGCAAACTTCAAACAGGTCTCTCGCCAAAAGGTAATCTTGTGTTATCCGACATGGCTACTTGATTGGAAGGATCCAAGATCGTGAATTAATCTTTTTTAATTCAGAGGCGTTGGATCAGCTTGTTGACAAGGCAACAATTGAAATTCGTAAACTTGGATATGGTGATGACACCGAAGATTCCACAAAGATGCAATGGACGGGAATCCAATTTTGGAGTATTATGAAAGAATTGGCTCAAAAAGAATATGTAATAATTTATTTCTTTGGTATCGATGTTAAATATATTACAGCTTGTTAACAAGGAATAATGCTATTTAAGGTCTCGTACGATGCGGCCAAGTTTTCACCATTATTCAAAGGGGATGATACTCCCATAAGAGCGATGGAAGAAGCGGAGTTGATTTCCATCACCCAATACGATGGTATTTCATTTATTTGCAGTTCCGAGGTCTTTTCATTTTCGTTGCATTAAATTCATTAATCCATCATTATCATTATTATTATTATTATTATTATTATTATTATTCCCTTCTTTAAAAAATAAATAGGCCGACCGAATCTGCTTAAGTCAGGAAAACCGTTATACAGAGTAGCTTTCCAACGCATACATTCTGATAATTTATTTGCTGCCACCATGGAAATGCAAACTTCCCAATACTTATATTCCTACGAGGCAGATAAGATAAAGAAGTACGAAGAGGAACTCACGACGTTAGGTCAAATGTTTGTGAAACCTCCAGGGATTGAAAAACGGATGAAATTTTTGTCAGAAAGAATTGGAAAGAGTCACGACAAGGCTGAAAAGTATCAACAGGAAATTGACAAGTTGAAAAAACGAATTTCGGATGGAATATAGAAAAAGGCATTGGCCTTGTTTACTCTCGCATATGCTTCACGTTTAAAAGTGCACTGTGGAAGAAGCATGGATAACCATGTAATGCTCTATTAAATTTTTGCATTCGTACCCTCATCTCTGTGCAAATGCAGGGCTAGGAATGTACCCGATTTTCAATAACGAATGTCTTTGTAGTTATCATGATTTTTTTTTTTTTGCAACAGTTGCATCAATGTGCCTGTCACTTTATCCATTCTCATTTTGGCTTATATAAAAATGTATTTGTACTTGTAGAGGTTATATAATGTTCAGATTCTGTACAAAGATTGCTCCTGACCACGTTGATATTTATCAGAAATCTCTAAAAATTCTCAAAGTACCATTATTCATGTCTCTTTAATTTTTAACTGCAAATTTACATATTTGCACATTTTGCTTACATGATAACCTTGCCAATATACAGACAGTATGTGGTCAACTTCAATACCCCACTCCCTGATCCTTAGTGACGGTTTCTAATATTGACCGTCTCTCGGAACAAATTCCGAGAATCAACTATTTGGTCGTCAACTTGACAAGATTCCTATGGCTAAAAGGACTCTTTACAACCCGGAAAGATGATCGATGATTGTCGCCGAGGTCCCTTGTTAGAATGAACAACTCTTCCACCGCACTGTCAATAACCTCAAACGTGAATGCAGACGCGTTTAGAAATTTTCTTCTTTCTAATCAGAATATCCTCAATCATAATGAAATAAAACCGTTGTCTTAATTATGATAAGATTGATCCATTCATTAAAGCAAGATTTTTGGTGGAATCATTAACTCTGGCAAAAAGAAACCTTTATTGATAAGTAAAACAATGATAACGTTGATAAATACAATTCTATGTCATACTGTACATACTGTATTTGATGCTATACAAAAGCGGAAGAGATTAATATATACTTTGAGCACGCGGGTGGCGACCACAAAGAAAGCTCCCAAGCCAACCTAGTGGACATACTTTATTCACACGGATATTGCACAGCACGAATAACAACTCAGGTATGTAACTTGTTTTAATGAGATAAATAAATATTTGTGATAGCGCATGACATACAATAGATTCTACGGTTGAAATTAGAACAAGTATAAATAAATTATTTTCTCGTTATCATATTCAGCAAAATCATTTTTGCTCTCAGGGAAGCCAATGGTTGAGTGAATGCGAATTCTTATCCCTTAATCTTCATTCTCTTTCCACTACCACTTCCAGAACCATTATCCCGGACCTCCTTTTTCTTAGAGCCACCTCCCTTAACCGAATAATTTCTTTTATCACCTTCATCAGTGATCATCATGTCAACATCATCGATCTTTCGGTTTGAATCCGCGGAAACACTTAGTCCGGGGATAAACGGCTTTAATAACTCTATATGCAACTTTAGCCTCAATCCACCGTTTTCGGCCAAATCCTTGACCTTAACCTGTACTGTCACTTGATCAAATAATTTCACACTTATTTTTGACCCGGTTTCAGACGTTGATTCAAGACAATTAGAGTGAATATTGTAGACTATAGGCGACGGTGCGGCGGTAGATGATTTTTGGCTCTTTGGTGAACACACAACTCCCTCGATGCCATACCTGTTAGAATGGCAACGCGTGAGCGAGAAATCAAAGATAGAATAGCATGCGTAATAATAATTTATGGGGTGAATAGTTACTTTGGAATAAAGACAACAAAACCATTATTCAGTATTTTCACCACGTATCCATCATTTTCCTCTATTTTCTCTCTGAAGAAGATATTCGTGTGTAATTCGACGGAATTGCGAGCCGCCATTTGTGCCATTCGGTGACGGTAATTGAGAGCTACACGAATGCGAATGATATTGGTGAAAAAGGTGATACGAATAGCGAGGCGAAATGGTAAAGTTATATTTACATTCACAAAGTTCCTGCATTTTTCGTGCATCCGTCAATTCTCTATCATAGGACGAATCGGCGTTAAGGGATGCAGCCAACATCCTGTGCACAATTATATCTAAAGATGATAAAGAACCATACATAACCCGAACAAACTAAAAGACGTGATAATGTTCTGCGCAATAGATGAAACATAATACCAGGATATCTTCGAATCGGTGACGTGAAATGAGTGTAAATATTTGTAGCGAGCCCATAATGCCAATAATTTTCAGGCGCGACAGAGCCGGAACAAATGTAGGCGGCCGGTAGCATGCATCTGGTTGTCATTATCCTCAATAATGTGTTGAAGTATTGATCACCTTTAATCTTAATATTTACAGAATGAATAAATGGCGAAATCAAAAGAAAAAAAAAAACTCATTAATCAACCCTCGAGAAGAAGGATAACACTCACGACGGCCTTATCCAGTGAATCGGCGAGCGATTTTGAAGAATCATGTTGAATCGACAAACCAAATTGACCTAATGCCCTCGAAAGTTCTTCCAATTTCTCTTTGAACGGGGAAGGATGGTTCCTGTCATAAAATGCCAAATAAAGCAGAGTCATTATATGGTGACTAGAATTGATTGTTGCATAAATGATCTTGGGATACCTTAATAATGCCGACTTAGGAAATCTGGAGTAAATCTTCTCGGCGACAGAAATGTTGGCCAACAACATAAATTCTTCAACGAGAGCGTTGGTTTCCCTCAACTCTTTCATTTCTGTTTTTGTCGATGTAAACATATGATTTTGTAAAGTGCCAATATAAATCTTCATGGATTTTCAATATATCCATTTTAAAGGATACCAACATCAACAGGGTCTTGCGAGTCAAAATCTAACGTAAATTTAACTTCTGGGCTTGCCAACGTCAATGCTCCCCGGTCCATACGACGCCGACGAAGTTTTTTGGCTAATTCATTAAGAATCCTAATGCCTTTTGTCAAATCATCTTGCATCCTTCTATATAACGAAACACAAAGTGTTATAAATCGACGAGATTTAAATTGTCAAATTAGAAACGAACAGATGAGGGGATTAATTAACATACGTGTCATCAATACGCATCTGAGCTTCTTCATATGTCAAAGATGCCTTGGACGAAATCACACTTTTCGAAAAATTAACGTTCAAAATCTCCGCCTCCGAATTTAATTCCTGCGAGAAAAACGGTTCACATTTAACGTACAAAAAGTTTACCTCCGACGTCAAGGTCAAAGTAGTTATACTTACCCATATGCAAGAAAACGATAGTCTATCCACTTTTTCTCGAAGAGAACAAAGATCTGAGAGGATTCAAGTATTCATGTGATGTTCATGTAACACGAAACTAGTCTTTTAGAGATCATCAATAAATCATTAAAGAAGACCTTACTTGTTCCTAATAAAGCAGGCAACATATCAATACGCTTGTCAACCAGATATACGGTTGTCCCGCGATTCGCGGCCTCCTCATCCAGTGGAGTGCCCGCCTTGACAAAATGGGTAACGTCGGCAATGTCTGCAGTTTATACGGATGCAATAAGAATTTTTTTTTTTTCGAAAGATCATTGAGTTCCGCTTTCGGGGTGACTGTACAGTCACAATGATACTTACGAACCCCAACTTCATAATTTCCATTTGGAAGCTGGCGTATATGTAATGCATCGTCAATGTCGGTACATTCTGGACAGAATGATGGAAAAAAAATAATCAAACTCAATTCCTTGGAGCATAGAAAACGTCAAGTGTAATAATTAAAGTATATGCACTTGGGGGATCGATGCTGCAAACGTTCAAATTTCTTAGATCCAAGCGACCTTGTAAGTGTTCTTCTTTTACCCTCCATTCTGTACCTTCGGGTGGAAGGTTGTTAAGAACTTGTGGCGTAAAATCTTGAAATGGTATATCATGCTCCAATAATAGAACTTCGGTTTCTGTGTCTTTGTCTCCTGCAGATCCCAGCGCTCTTACAAAATGTCCCAATGGATTTCTTGTGATGACGATTAAAAAATTTATCAAATAAATGACCGGATGTTACGACACCGCCTGATAAAAGATAAGTGATACCTCGATTCTTTTGGCCAAGAGTCGATGGCAACCAGAATACGTTGCCCCAGAAGGTTCTTGGCTTGCCTGGTCCGAATATATATTTTGGGGATGCGACGGTCTACAGGAAAGACGGACACATTTTCCGGTATCATGGAAGTGGCTGACCCTTTGGCAAATTTATTTTCGATAAACCCGCAATAACTGTATCGTCGTTAAGTCAGGTCAATGGATAAAAATATAATCGTGAACATCATCTTCAAAAATATGATAAAGGATACGATCTCCGATTCCTCTTTATTATTCCAACCACCTTACCGGTTGGCTTTGGTTTCTCGACGGCATCATCATCGTCAATTCCTTCTGGTTGATCACTTTCGAGCTCTGCGGCCGCGTCACCTTCCTCATCTGCTTAGAAAACAACATATATAATGACGAAAGCATTCGGTCAAAAAACGCATCACACATACATACCCTCTATTACAGCGGCGGTGGGAGTTTTTTTCCACTCGGACTTTGGTAATAATTGAACAGCGACCGTGTCCCCTTGAATGGACCTATTCAAAAATTGGCGACCCACGATCCTGATCTGTGTTTCAACGCCATCCACAGTACCCTGGATGGAGCCCTGCAAATGAATCATAGATATCACTTAACCATAAGTAAACGTATGAAAAATACTTTAGACAGTCTGACAGCATACTAACCTCATAAAAATTATACGTGCTAATGCTCAATATCCCCTGGTGCAAGGTACCGGTCTTGATGCCCTCGGACATTTTAGTGGAAGATAAATGCTTTTTCGATATTATTGATAATAAATAAATCCAGAGATTAACATCATGATTCCAACTAATCGATCGTTTGTATTTGTCTCAAATAAGAAATTCGGTGTTCACATTTTCACACGCGTTCTTGTTGATAATTATTGCTCGCACATTGCAGCGCAACGTTCCTAACGTTATCCCGTCCATGTGTTCACGCGCTTGACAAAAAAGTTTTGACTTGGCTATTCCTGCATTGCCATAAAAGATATTGCGCATACCTCTTCGTACGGAATCCTTGACTCCTTCTCAACTCCAACCAAACTTTCCACCATGTCCATCAACTCCGGGTAATCGCTCATTCCACCGATATACTCCTTAACTATATAAACTTCGCGTTAAGAAATCGGACGACCAAACCAATAGAACATATTGTCATTTGAAATAAAAACCAGAAAATGCCAACAATCCATCCGCCTTGGCTTTGTTTATGTTTTCCATGTCATCCGATAATAAAACAACCTCGATATTCTTTCTGCTATTCGATGCTTCCCTGAGATGGGAAGAATACCACCTCACTGCCGATATTATTGCTAAAATGCAAATCATTATTCAATAATAAATAGTAATCTAATTTTTTCTTCCTTTGTTATCAAGGAACTGACCTCGATTTTTCCATTTATCGAGCGACTCTTCCTTTAACCTTTTGGTATATGTGTCTCTTTTGCGTGTAAATAATGATACCGAAATTTCAGAAAGTACTAGGAATGCGCATAAAATAATACCTGTAAATAATGATTAAACAATACCTATGATGTTCGTTAGGAAACACATAAAATCGGCGATTCCCCTCATTGATCAGCGAACGCAGTCGATTGTAAATGGGAAAACTCAAGTTTCGCACTTCTTCATAAACTGTTTGCAGGACGATAACATCATGAACGGCTTGATGTTCAATAAAACCAATCTAATAACTCGTGAAACAAGATATAATAATGTTGAAGAAAAATTTCGGAAACGGATATACAATCATTGAGATCAACTAATTCAAACATTAACCTGATTAATAAAAACTCCAGCGTCCGGTATGATATAATGCGGCTTGTTCACAAGTTGCGTAAACAAAGCGTTGGCACTCAAAATTGATTCTTCTTGTTTACAAAGTGAACAAGTCTCCACAGAGCACCATATATCGTCTCTCAGATAGTGCTCCTTGACCGCTTTTATTGCATTTCCTTTCTTGGTACGCTTAAGATATGTCTTTGAGTGAAGCATTCTTCTAGTCGCGCTCAACTTCGAGAACTGAGAATCGATGATCAATCGACAAGCCACCCGTCGATCTCTAACACTGTACTGATATAACATACGCAAGTACGTGACAGTCACCTCATTACATTACAGAAATAATGGTATGCTATACGCTTCTCTTTAAAGCCCAGATTTAAACGTACATATTTAGTATTTAACCGATTTTTTCACAAAAACAGTCTACAACTTGCGAAGTTGATCCGGAAGTATTACAGAAACTTAGAAAGTTTAGATTCGGGAAGAGGTCTCAAGGGCATGCAGCGTTCGTTTGTAAATATATGGTTAAAGATTTATTTTCTTAAGTTCGGAATTTGAATCATTGAATTATAGTTGGTAAACGCGACACTCTAAAAATGGGTCAATTGATTTGCTTCCTTGGTGATAATGATATATTATTTGGTAACAGTGAAAATTGATAGGGAGCAATTATTAGTTGTCGAAGACAAAATATATGATAATATATCACTGGAAGATCTTGTTGAAGGTATCTCGATGATTACTGATGGTTTTTCGAGTTTTGCTCAACACAATTCATTGAGAATCTTGTATATCTCGATTTTGAAACTTTCGAAAAAAAAAAAAAAGAACTTCCCGAAAACATCCCACGATACATAGTGTTGAGTTATGAGGTATTTGGAATCCTCGCGTGTCATTTCGCTTCTGTTTTGTGCATCTATTAAGTTTCCAAGTTTACCTTTATCCAGTTGTCGCATGACGATGGTCGTAAATCATATCCTTTGGTTTTGATCTATTACTCACCACCCTCCACGAAACCAGAGACGCACATGTTGGTAAATATATGCGGAAGGGCGAAACGAGATTTCATTGTACCAATTGCGTCGACATCGACTTCCTAATATATATCTATGTATGTATGGTTTTATTTAGTACGCGAGTGCGAAAACATACTTTCAACAGAAAGCCGATTTGAACAAGGTGTTTGACATCAGAGAAGCAGAAGTATTAACTGATTATTGGTTGCGAGTAAGTTAGCGTTGAAACCTTTCATTTTCTTAACAACGAAGCGCGTCATAATACGTATCCATGACTTTATTTTTTTACACCAGGAAAAATTATTAAGTCATCATTAGAACATGTTATTTAAAATCATTTTTAATTAAAAATTATTTAAGCATTGTTGCAACTATTATAAATAAAAATTGTCTCGGCGATATCTTGTATTTCACTTATTTTCGCTTTATCTCAAGCGGAATAATGAAAGGTCTTTTTGAAAATCCGAGCGCCATTATAACTAGATTCACAAACTATCACTATTTTTTACTCGTACTTTCGAATCAGGCATTTTTTTTTTACAAGGAAGACTCACCCTTGCTTTATAGCATTTACAAATTTGGGAAAACCAGGTTAAACTAAAAGATAATTTAAATTTAAAATTAATTAAAACGAAAGGTTTAAACAAAGTTAACTCCTTCGTATTCGCAGATATACATAGTTGATTAGAAAAATTCTTTTAAATCTTTTATCAACAGACATACAGTATTATTTTTGTTTTCATTGGTCAATCCAAGAATTGCTAAAGATGAAAAAAAATTTTTTGTATAATTTTATCTATATTTTGTTAATAAATTCAATCAAATTTTACAATGTTTGAGAGTATGATATTTTTAGATATTATTAATATTTGTTATTATGATGAAACTAGATTGAACACTTATCATTACAATCCTTTTATATTGTAAATGTATTAAGTAATTGGTCTTTAATTAAATTCTAATATTAGTTTAGTTTTTTTTTAATCCATAATCATGTCATGATGGCTTGTTTTTATTGAAAAATTAAAACAAATCTATAATAGTTTACAAATTTTCATAATATGACTAACTTATCTTCTTATATAAATATTTTGAGTCAAATTTTAAAAACAATATTATCACTTTTCTGATAAATTGATTATTACCTCTATCTAACAAGATTATTATTAACAGTTTATTATTATTAATTGATCCAAAAATCAATGAATTGTCAAGTTAAAAAGAAGAAAGAAAAAAATAATTGAAAAAAGGGAAAAATTCAAGATTCATCAAAAAAGTTCAAAAATAAAGACAACTTTTTTTCAAAAAGAATCTATTTGATTAAGATAGTCTTCTTACTTCACTTGAATCTTAGAAAAAATCTTTTTTTTTATTATTTATGATATCATATAAGTCAATCCAACTAATCCTTCATTTAAATAAGTATTGAATTAAAATATTTCCAGAAAAGTATTTAAATCTCAACCTTTTTCTATTAAAGCGTTATTACCACTTAAGAAACTTAAGTAAGAGATATGAGTCTACAATCATATTATTTATTACTTGATTTTTTGATATTATAATATTTTTATTAAGAGATTATGACTTTTGAAACAAATGTTTTTAAAAAATTCTTTTTAATAATCAATAATATTATTAAAATATATGAGTATAATCAAAAAGAACCTTATTTATATTTTAAAAACTAATATTTTTCATATTAGTCAATTACCTTTAATAAGAATTTATACTATTTAAAATTCAGAATACTAGTTGAAATTATGCTATCGATAGCTAAATTATTATTAAATTTGATAAATATTGTGATCAAATTTATATTTGACCATTGTGTTCAAATGGAATTGCTTTTAAAAGGATAATTCCCAAAGAAAGGATTAAAGAAGTGGTTTATAATAAAGAATTATTCAAGAAGAGATTCACCAAGAATCCTTTAAACAGTGTTACAAAGTGTTTCCAAAGAAATATGGTTCGCTCAGAACCCAAGTT